AGATTTTTATGGTCAGTACAAAGACACCAGATTCATTGGGTTAACTAATAGAAGGTTGCTAAGCCAGCCATGCCTGGGGGACTTGGTTTTAAGGGTGTGTTGCATCTCCAACAGGTGAATCTGTGCAAACTCTGGATTAAATTCACGCAACAACACTCCTTAGGGGCAATATACATGAAGGGTAAATACTGTAAGCACTCTCACCCCATCTAGTTAGTAGGAAGTTAGGGGACTATAGAATTTGGGTACAAATGTTAAAAGTCAGACAACAAGCTGAGGACTTATTTCTATGGGATCTGGGTAATGGTAAACTTCATTTTTGGCTGGACAATTGGTGCCCCCAGGACCTGCTACTGCCCAAACCAACTGAAATCAATAAAAATCTCTTTGTTTCTAATTGTTGGAATGACAACTAATGGTGTGTAGAAACCCTTCAGTCTCTAACTCATCCTACTGCTATTATTTGTATATCTAAAATACAGTTCAATAGAGATACTAAGGATAAATTGGTATTCAAGAACTACAAAATGCAGTCTCTGTATAAAGCTATCTATGTCAATATGTTCAATTGGGAGGTTGTCTTTTGGGTAAAAAAAATTTGGAATAATTTCCTAACCCCCTATATGTTCTTTTTATATGGAGAACCTTTCAGAAACTGCTCCCTGTTGATGATATTCTTAAACTAAAGGGCCTTAAAGGCCCTTCTAGATGTCATCTTTATCACTCTAAGGTTGAATCAATCCCTCATCTCTTTTTCAACTGTAAATTTGCTCAGCAGGTCTGGAATGAGCTAATGCCTTAAAGGCCCTTCTAGATGTCATCTTTATCACTTTAAGGTTGAATCAATGCCTCATCTCTTTTTCAACTGTAAATTTGCTCAGTAGGTCTGGAATGAGCTAACACAGAGTTTGAATATTAATTTACTTTCATTGGGTTGGTCTACATTGGAATATTGCTGGAAGGAATTGTCTGATCTAAAATTTCTTGCTGTCCCATGTATTGTTTCTTGGTTTCTCTGGATGACATAGAACAAAGCTAAATATGAGGATCTCTTCCCAACAGTGGCTCACATTGTTGTTGACTATAAAGCCTTCATAAATAAATTGGTTACAATTAAAGGCTTTTCTGATATTTGCAACTCCCTACAACAGTCCCATAACCCCTCTACCTTTTTCACTATCTTTAAAGTTTTCTAGACTAAGCCTCGCCATCATTATATCAAAGTAAACAATGATGGTAGTTTCCATAACTCTACTGCTGGTTTTGGTGGTATATTTAGATATACTAATGGTATTGGCAAATTGTTCTTCTACTATCCTATCATAGCACAGGATGCTCTTGAGAGAGAAGCTACTGCTGCCTTTTGGGCTATTCAGATTGTTGTTTGGTTGAAATGGGATTACTTGCTTGTGGAAACTAACTCCATACTCCATATTCAGATGATTAGAGGTGTTATCTCTCTTCCTTGGCATATCTTACAATGGTTAAAAGCCATCAACTCCCTTACACAGAATTGCAATTTTACTTTTTATTTTAATTTCAGAGAAGGGAACAAACCTGCCAACTGGCTTGCTAGATTGGCTTCCAATTCTAATGGTGCTATGGTCTCCTCCTTTCCCCCTCCTCCCCTTTCTTTATTGTTGCATGGTGACCTCCTTGGGGCTCCATAACATAGAGTTGTAACCACTTTAGTTTATTAATATATTTTCTTTTGCCAACATATATATATATATATATATAATATATAGGGTGAAGGAGTTGTTATTGACTCCCTACATGTTAGAATAATATGCAAATACATAATGCAGGTAAGAAACTAGGGACTCTTTTTTGGTTTAATACAAGAACCTAAGAGCTCCCCCAAAAAACTAAAAAACACCTACCAAAAGGAGGGAAAATACCATGACTCAACAAAAGGAAAGAAAAAAAGGATAAAAATACAGCTACACCAAAGATACTCATATGTCCAGATATGCAATTCTGAAGTGGGGAACCTCCAGGATGTCTCCTTGTAGCAAATATTGAAGAGCTGAGAGGGCATCATTCTCTTTAGAATGTGCCCCAAGCGGGGCCAGCCAATTTGCAGGCTGATTTCCTTCCCTGTAGATGAAAGTGAAATGAATTTGTAACTTACTACTAAGATCTCTAATTTTATTTATCCAATATAAGTAGTGCCAAGGAGATCCCTCCTCATGCTTTAGAAGGTGAATAACTGCAGCAAAATCCACCTCCAGTGAAAGCTTATACCAATTAGCCTTATTGGCAAGTTTAATTGTCCAATACACAATAATAAGTTCAGTCTCAGTGGCATCAGAGGCCATTACTGGGGTGTAGAAGTACAGAAGACACTTACCCAAATGATTTCTGTAAATTACTCCCACTCCAACTCCATTTTTTGTAAAGCTTCCATTAGTATTGATCTTCAGTGTGGGATGCTGTGGAAGCTCTAATTACTTGAATAGGGTCTGGCTTATCAGAAGAGTAGGATTTAGAGACATTAGGGAATCTTTTTCATTTGATCATCTTATGAAGGTAAGATAAATTGTTTCTAGCAGCTTTTCCAACATTTGGGATGGCATTTTCAAACTTTGCCTTGTTTCTTTCCATCCAAATGAACCAAGCAGTAATGAAAGGAATAGTAGCATATTTTCTCTTGTGCCAGATTAGCTAGCAATTGACATGGCTATCCCAAGTAAGATATTTCTCATCAATAATCAATTGATTCAATATCTATTTACATACCTGCTGAGCAAAGTTACATTCAAAGAATAAGTTAATCAAAGATTCCTCCTCTTATATATATATATATATATATATATATATTATGATGGAGTTGATGGCTGGAGGTGGAGCTCTGCTAGGGTTTCTGAGGAGATGAAGCTTAACAGCTGCTGGTTTTTGGTGGAAGCTATCAAGGTGGTGTGTTGGGTTTTCTACTCTACTTGGACTCCACTTTGGTGGGGTTTCTCTTTGTTTAAATCTTCTCGGGATTGGAGATTTGAAATTTTTTATTATTCCATTGATATTAGTGTCTCTTCGTGTTGCTCTCTGTTTGCAAAGGTGGGGTCTTGTTTCCTTTTCCTTTGTATACTAAAGTTTTCAACTCTTTTATCCTTCCTTTCTGCCTGGGTGAAGAATGTACTCAGCTTCTTAGAGGATTTATCCCTCTGTCATTTGACTCTCTTCCACTTTTTGCTTCCCTTTGGGTTTTTGGTTTATGTGTGTGTGGCTGTTGTAAAGGTTTACACCTTTAATGGTTACACCTATATGAGTCCACATTGATTCTCAGTGGACAAAAGCAACTTATGTAGGTGTTTCTGGAAAGGCCACTTACATTCTATAAGATCCTGATAATCTAGTTTTCCCCCAAGAATTTGATGATGCAGCAGCTGGAAAGGGAACTTGCATACATCCACTTGGTTCAAAAGAAGGGGAAGTTGCAGTGTTTTTCTCTGATATGGAGATTACCTCACTCCATGAAGAAGTCAAGTTCACTCTAGTGGGGAAATTCCAATTGGGACATCCCAAAATGAAACTTGTTAGAAACTTCTTTGACTCACTTAACTTCATTAGACAGTGGAAACTTGGCTTGATTGATGGCAGACATCTTCTTATCCAACTGTTAGTGGAGGATTATGTCAGGCTATTTGCTACACAATCACTGGTGATTGCTGGGACAACCGACTTTGATCCAAACAAAGAACCTCTTGTGATACCTCTATTGTTTAAGCTGCCAGGTCTCCCACTAAATTTATTTAAGCTTAATGCTCTATTTAATATTGGAAGAGCCTTAGGAACAACTCTCAAGGTGGATACTCCAACTTGTAACAAAGTAAGGTCTGCAATTGCTAGAATCCAAGTGGAAAGAGACAGAACCCTCATAGAAATTAAGAGAGTGGGGATAGGATCTGAGGCTGATGGTTTTTGGCAGGACATAGTTGGTGAACAAAAACCATTTTACTGCCAACACTGTAAAATGTCCACACAATTGAAAGATGTTATAGGCTTCACCCCCCATCAAGAAGGAATCATCTCAAGAACCCAAAGGAGTCTAGACAGGTTGCTGATAAGATTCCCAGTCTCAATACTCAAGAAATTAATCATCTGAATGATATCATAACTGCTAAGGAAAAATTACTCCCATTGCTGAAAATAATTCCCCACAGAACTTAGTTACTACCCCTTAAGGAGACCCTTTAGGGGAGTTATCTGACTCACAATCCAAAAGCAGCAATGAGGCATCCCTAAGAAGATCTGTTAGAAAAGAAGTTAATGAAATTATTATCATTACTCCATCTCCCACACTTGGGGGTAAAGGAGAAGGTATGCAAGAATGCTCACACAAAATAGATAATGGAAAAACAATTGTGGAAACCACTGTTGCTAAGTTACTACAGACACTTAAAGAAGATTGACAAATTCAAACAGCCAGAAAGAAGAAAAAAAGGCAACAGAAGTGCAAAAACTCCAACAAGGATCAAACTCTATGAAGACAGAAGGAAAGGCCAGGGCTAAGAATGGTTCCCCCTCTAAATACTATAGAGGTAGAACTAAATCAAGGTCTCAACCATCTCTTCAACTCCCATCAATAAATGATTAATATTATGTGTTGGAACATTAGGGGTATGGCCCAACCCCTTTCCCTTAAAACAGTATTACATCTTAACCATAAACATAAACTTTGGTGTATTGTCATTTTAGAACCCATGGTGCACAAACACCCTCAAAGTCTGATTTAATAAGTTCAATGACTTTACTCACTTTGCTAATATCTTGGTGAATCACTGGTATTTTGTTCATTTATCCTTTGATATTAATGGCCATAAGGGTTTTGCATCCTTCATCTATGCAGGCTGTACTAAGGATGATAGAAAGAAACTGTAGCACTGTCTCTATGAGATCAGTCAGCAAATGACCTCTCCCTGGTTTATAATGTGGATTTCAACTGTATTACTTCTTCAGCAGAAAAATTAAGTGGTAGGCCACCCAATCTAACTAAAATGTCTACCTTTTGTGATAATATCAACAATGCTGGCCTTTTTGACTTGGGATTCAAGGGTCCTGCCTTCACCTTGAAAAGGGGTTCTATGTGGGAAAGGCTTGACAAATTTATTGTGAATGATTGTTGGCTCTTCCAATTTCTGCTTACTTCTGTCACCCACCTAAGCCTTGCTGGTTCTGACCACAGACCTCCCCTCATAAGCATCACTTCCTCTGAACTATCTTCCACCCCCACTCCTTTTGGATACCTCAACATGTGGTCCTCCCATACATTATTCTCTAAAACCATTTCTGATCTTTGGAAAGATATCTCCCATCCTGACCCCTTGGTTAAAGTTAGCTTGCTGCAATTTAAAACTAGTAAGGCCCTCAGAAAGTGGAGTTGGGAAGCCTTTGGTAATGTTCTCACCAATGTGTCTGATGCTGAAAAAGAAGTTATAAACCTAGAGTAGGAAGCTCAACAATGAACTGTGGGGGAAGAGATGCTGCTCAATGCTTAAAATAATCTTCTCATTGCTATTGAATATCAAGATCAATTCTTGAAACAAAAGGCATCCATGAACATCTTCACTGATGGAGACAGAAATACCAAATTTTATCATTCTTACATCAAGTACAAAAGCAAATGTAATACAATTCACTCCATCCAAAATACTAAAGGAATAAGGAATTTGGCTCCATGATAATAAATAATGTCATTGCTGCTGATGCTACTAACTATTTTAAAAAGATGTTGAACCAAGTTCAGACTACAAGGATTCCTATTGAGACTCACTAATTCTACGAGGAGCTGAGGTATACTACCAATCTTAGTCTCATTGATCCCCTTACTAAAAATGAGATTTGGGAGGTTATTAACTACATTGATAGTACTAAGACAGCTGGCCTTGATGGCTATACAACTGACTTCTATAGAAAATATTAGGATACAATCAAAACTGATGTGATTGCTGCAGTGGTCAGTTTCTTTCAAGGTAATAACCTCCCCCATTACTTCAGGGACTCCACTTATATACAGGTACCTAAAAATGAAATTCACAAAAATTGGGATCATTTCAAAACTATATGTCTCACTACTATCCTCAGCAAAGTTATAAGCAAAATTACTGTGAGTAGACTACAACCACACCTTGAGGTTCTGATTAAACCCAACCAGACTGCCTTTGTAAAGGGCAGGTCTATCAATGCTTTACTGGTTTAAGAACTTCTGCAAGATTTGAATAAGCCTTGTAGAGGGGGTAACCTTATTTACAAATTGGATATAAGAAAGGCATATGATACAACCAGTTGGGATTTTATAATGGAGATAATCTCGTCTAGGGGGTTTAAACCCACTTTCTATCAGCTAATTCATAGATGTTTATACAATAATGCACACTCCATTCTCCTCAATGGGCAAGTTTGGGGATCTTTTACTACTACTCGAGGTTTGAAGCAAGGGAACCCTTTATCCCCCACCATTTTCATTCTTGTCATTAATTACTTGTCCAGAATTTTAGATGCATCCCTTCTACCACAAAGCTACTCTAGATACCATCATAGAACTAATATTACTATTTCTCACCTTTTCTATGCTGATGATATAATGGTTTTCTCAAGTGCCCATAGGAATGCTGTGAAGAAAGTATTCCAAAGTCTACAAAAATTTCAACTACGTTTAGGGGTGTTTTTTAATGCTGATAAATGTCACGTGATCTTCAATAAGAAAGCCTCCTCCAACTGTAAATTATTCCAAAGGCCACTAATTACACTGGTTTCTCCTGTACTCAACTTCCTATCAAATACCTAGGAGTTACTCTTCTTACTGGTAGAACTAAACAAATTCAGTTTGAGGAAGTTCTAAATAAGATTGCCTCCTTTCTTTGTGATGGGACTCAATCCTTCCTCTCCAATGGTGGGAGAATAATATTGCTGAAGAGTATCTTAACTACCTTTCCCTCATACATCCTGTAGATGACTGCTATGAAGAAAAGTACCCAAATTCAAATGGAGAGAGCCTTCAACAGATTTCTTTGGTTTTGGCAAAGAGAACAATAACATTGGGCTTCTTGGCAAAAGGTGGCTAAACTTCAGTTAGCTGGTGGTATTGGTTTTAAGAGTCTGAATCAACTACTTCAAATTAACTTGTGTAAAATCTGGATTAAGTTTAGAACTCAGTCTTCCTTATGGGTTAAATTTATGTGGGGCAAGTACTGTAAAGAATAACATCCTAATCTTGTGGTCAGAAAGATTGGTGATTACAAGCTTTGGGTGAAGATGGTACAGATTAGACAAATAACTGAAGACCTTTTCTTATGGGACTTGGGAAATGGGAATATCAACTTTTGGCTGGACCACTGGTGCCCCAAAGATTGGTTAATTCCAATCTCTTCCCATAATCTTAGTCTCAAGATTGCTGACTGCTGGGAAGGAAATAACTGGTGCTTTCAAAAACTCTCAACAATACTGTAAGATCAGTCTGTTAGGAGAATTGCCACGATACAATTTGACAGGACAAAGGAAGATAAACCTGTTTGGCAAGCCTACTCTAATAAGAGCCTCACCAAAGCAATTTACTCCAAATTATATGGATGGGAATAGATTTTTTGGGGTGATATTGTATGGAATAAATTTCTATCTCCATTTATGTCATTCTTCAGCTAGAGGACTCTTCAAAATATTCTCCCTACATATGATATACTCAAGTTGAAAGGACTGAGAGGGCCTTCTAGATGTGGGTTGTGTCTATAAGAGGAGGAATCACTAACACATCTATTTTTTAATGTAACATTGCACACAATGTTTGGAACCATCTTATACAACATCTAAATATTGAAGTCATTAATGTCACTTGGGATAAGACCATTACTTGCTGGCAGAACTGGCATCAGCTTAATTATGCTCCTATACCTTTCATAGTGGCTTGGTTTATTTGGATGAATAGAAACAAAGCTAAATTTAAAGAGACTATCTTTACCATAGATAAAGTAGTGAGAAACAAACATTGTTTCCTACCTACACAAAGATGATAAGGTATAAAAGATTTCCTAATATCTCCATCTCCTATAATGATGATAAGGAATCTCCTTTAAAGATTTATAAAGTCTTCTAGAAGCCACCTAAGTGTAACAATATTAAAATTAATACCGATGGAAGTTTTTCTGAGCTAGGAGCTGGTGTGGGTGGAATTTTCAGAAACCACCTAGATCAATGTCCTCTTTATTTCCATACTCCTGAGTTTGTTGCCGATGCTATTGAAACTAGGATTATTGTTGTCTATTGGGCACTCAACCTTGCAACAAAAATTGGATGGACTCATATTTGGATTGAAGTGGATTCTACAGTGGTTATTAGTCTGTTAAGCATTGAGGAAGTGATACCATGGCACTACTCATACTGGATTCAAAATATCAGAAGACTCTCATCCCACCTCCATGTCAACTTCACTTTTATATTTAGGGAGGGCAACAAACTTGCTAATTGGCTTGCCAATTGGCTTGCCAAATATGGTCTCAGCTACAACAACACAACTGTGGCTACCTCCCCACCTTCTTTACTACTTTTTTTGCTACATGGAGACATACTTGTAATTCCCCACCTCAGAATCGCTGGTCACAACACACTCAAGAGGTAGTTCTTCTATGATAAAGATTTTAGTTTCTTGGTCCCCTCTTTTACTGAGAATATTCTGTCTTTTGATCTGTAAAGCTTTCTGCTAGGCTACTAAAAAAGTTTTCTAGACCTCAACCAAAAGTAAGGTCAACAACCCACTGTATGACTCAAGTGTAAATTGCTGACTCCTTTTTCATTGAGGGAGTCCAACTTTTCTAACTTTTGTAATCATAGTTTTTAAGTTAACATGGAAGGAGCCAAGAGAAGCTCTTTTTTTGCATATATATATATATATATATTATCTATTGCTCCTTACATGTTAAACAAACAATTGAGATACAAAACATAAGGGTTAGATCACCAAACCTACACCCAGATCTCATACCCTATATAGTTCTTACAACCATGCTCAAAAAATGAAATAAAGAAATCTAAGTAAAATCTTGTATGTACCCCCCTGAAATAATCAATCTCTACAATGAAGACAAGGAATGGATAAGGTGTCCCCATGTAGTAGGAGAGCTAACTGATTAGGAGGTATAGTCCCTAAAACAATCTCTTTAGTTTCCTTCCCCCTGATTGCCAAACTTTGTGCTGGAGTGTTTCCTTCTCTAAGTATGTGTTGGAAATGCACATCAACCTTAATCAACAGTCTTTTAATATTATTGTGCCACCAAACAAGGTTCCATGAAGCAGCTTCAACATTATTCAGAATTTTGATGCAGCTATTGGAATCAGATTCTATCACCAATTTAGAGATGTTACATTGCTTGGAATGCTTTATAGCCCAGAAGATGGCTATCATTT